CAGCTAAAGTGAAGGTATTACATTTTGCTTTTCAATAAGTACAGAGTATAAAATATAAACGATTTTAAAATAGTATAAAATCACTATTTGTAATGTTTTCGGTTGTAATAAATAAAAATAAAAATTATTATTTATTAAATTTACTCATTTAGATGGTAAATTGTACTATATTTTACGTGCCAATTAAATTTGAACTATGTACTCTTCAGATATGCTTCCATCAATAATGCTGATCATAGATTCGTTACCGCACAAATATTTTTATTAGACTAGCGCATAAAAAAATTAATTTTTTTATATTAAAAATGTTTAAAGAAATGCTTTCGCTAGAAATTTTTTAAACATAACAATTTTGTTGCGTTTGTATTAACTGTATTTGCAGTTTCCATTAGGGTAGAGTATATTCATTCAATGGTATCAGAACTGCTCATTATTTAAGCTCTAGTGGATTTTGATGCAGTCGCACAACTTAGACTAACCTATAGCATTCTTCATGGATATATCGACACCTATTACATTGGCGCTAATATCAGTGAGATCGAATGTAAATATGAACTTACAATTATTCAAAAGAATGTAAATTCATGAAGATCTGTGTAAAAAGAACTGTCCTACCTCCTGTTCTCATTGAGCTTAGGATATAGCAGTATATGCTCAACAGTTATTGGTCACGCATAAATTATCAATTTCCAATGTGTACTATAACTGCAGCTTAACCTTCATAATGTCAACCATCTGTTTTTTTTTTTTTTTTGCCCAAACGCACACAAATCTGAGTTCAAGCTTCCTTTGAAACTGCTCCATAGGAGTGACTATGTTTCTATAACTCAATCTTGGTTGACTTCAATTTAATTGCCACCAATCCCCCGATTCATTCCCACTTCTACATGATCCCCTTCACTCTCACACAAGCAATAACCATCTACATCTTAACCTATGTATTCTAATTACTTTCATGTTACCCTAGTCTGCGGGTTACAATACCCTACCCTAAAGTGAGTAGGCGGCGATTGTTTGTCTATACAAACAATTAGTGCTCTTATTAGTGCTCTTAGCTATCATTTCAAGTCTTGCCTTTTTTTAGTATGTATATATGAGCATTAACAGATTGCATAAAAGAAGTGTGGAATTTACTTAGTTATTTGCTTTGGGCACATTGGATTGGTTTTTTAAGAAAAAAAAAAAAAAGAATGTGAATGCATCTATGGGTTTTATGAGACTTCAAAGCATGTACACTGTTTTATAAAGCAAAAAAATATTTAGGTGAGCATCTTATATCGGATTAAGTAATTAGACTCTGTAAACTATGTTCAATACTAAAATTGATCGAGAAAATCAAGTGGAACTAATATCCTTTCTTTAAAAGGAGGAACCATTACACAACTTAATAATTGGGTTAATCATCATAAAATTGCCATAAAAGTAGTCGAACATATCAATTTTAAAAATTAACAAAACTGTATGGAACGTGTCATGAATACTAATTTTAAACTCGGGAATTAGTATAGCGTGACCAAGAACATGTGAATGTAATAACACTTTTAGTATTTGAATTTACGAAGTAATTTGTACATGAATTTTTTATTCTAGAAAAATAGAGATTTTGGTAGAGACTTAACACTTTGGTTTAATGGATAGCTTTCGTTCTCTCTGGAGAAATGACCTTCTTTAAAATAATATGCTATCAAATATTTTTTCATTAACCATTGATACAGTTTTTATAACATATAAATTATAGTTTTTAGTGTTATTGATATTATTGAACAATCACTCTTTAATTTGAGCATTTCGGTAATCTGAAGAATTCTTAAAACATGATTTATCAATAAATTCAAAGTATACTGTATCTTAAATTTTCATTAAAAATATTGGTTATTACTGTAAAAACTGTTCGAAACTGTCAAGAAGTTCCAAACTATAAAATCAAAATGAACTATCTCATCACAAATCAGAGCTTTATTTGCTAAAGAGTTGGGATTTTTTTTTTGCATTTTCATACATAATTTTAAATCTATATCAGAAGTAAATTTCGTCTGAAGTTATTATTTGATAAAATCCGGATATGAACTGTACTTCACGTTTATAGGTATATGACAATGTATAGATGTAGTTTATGTAGAAAAATATTTGTTATCTGTTTAGTAGTTGATAAGGTACTTAATGTAGTTCAGAACGAAATATATCTTATCAGTTTAATGTAATAAATATAGAAAAGATTTACTTAACAAATAGGAAGAAATTTCATTTCAATGATTTAAATTAATGTAATTTCACGTAAAACAATTTTTCTACCTCAAATTATAATCCTTATATTCTCAGTTCCTAAACATATCCCCCCAACAATTTGCCACTGATATTTACTATATACTATCTATATTTTTTCAGAAGTATTATAAAAGACCAATAACCAACAAAATGCCAGCAAAACACTAAGTACTGAAGCATCTTCCAATCAAATAATAAAAAAAAAATAAATGGGATTAAATGGAATTACATATCATTCATATCTACATTATTTATATTAAGCACTGAAGTGCAGCTGCTTCATGTTAAGTTTCTTTATTATTTTCATAAAAAAATCTTTATTCCTAATTAGTTCTTTATTCTATATGTTAGGAGGTTAGGTTGAATTGGTGGTGTTGAACACCAAAGTCCAGTTTGTTTACGTAGAAATGCAAACCAACCAAAATAGTTTTTCATTTGATCTATTCATATTTAATGCAACCAAACAGTTCCTGACGTCCCAAATAGTTCTGAAAAGGTTCCCTATTCTTTATCTCGTATTACTTTCAATCATTCGTCATTCATTGACATACCTTCTTTGGATCTATAACAAAAACTGAGTTCTTTTTTTTTGCCACTTAATTTGAAACGTATTTAATAAATTATCTATTAGTGTGCAAACACCTCTTAATTTCAACATATTAGGTAAATAGATTATATATAATTAACTTAATTGCATGTTTAGATTTATTGAGTTATATATGACATGCAATTTGGTTTTTTTTTTAACCATACGAGCAAAATAGGTCACTTATATATTCATATCTAATAAATATTCTTGGAAGCAAAATTGATCTTTAAACGCTAGCTGTGTGCTGTTAACTTAGACCTTCTACATTTTTTCGTTGGTACTTCAGATTTACGATATACGATCAATATTTTTCAGTGGTATCATAAGTGACCATTATTTATTTATTTGTCTTTTTTTTTGGTGCACAAGGTCGTCACTTCAACCTAAACCTTTATCACACACAGAAATTCACTAAAATATTAGTTGTCATTATAGGTCCAAGACTC